CCTTGGGGAGGGAATCCTGGAGGAATGCCTGGCCCCTGCAGTTTAGGCGTTTTGAAATTCTTGTGTGCTAGAGATGTGGCTGGGGTTTCTTTCACAGCGGAGGCAAGTAATTGCAACTCTTCTCTATTATTGTACACATTGAAGGTGAGGTCAGTTAAGTCCTGTTTTGGGGTTGATGGCCAGAATCTAATTTTAATGTAGGGAGTGGGTTGGGTAATAAAATGCCTATTGAGAATAAGATAGCCATCTCGCCCCACTGGGCCTAGGGCGGTAAAGCGCCTAAGGGTTGTTGCCAAATGGGCCATGGACTGGACTGGGTTTTCATATTTGATGAAAACGAGCCTAAAAGCTAACTGATTTGGGAGAGTTCTGATAAAGAAAGAGGAGCATTATTAACCTTGGCTATGCCTTCAGCTCCAGCCACCTCTCTAAGAGGAAATTGTTGAGCAGGTGGGAGAGGGCTAGTCACAGAGGGAAACTGTAAGCCAGACTGGGTGTGAGGAAGGGAGGTAGTAGGAGGGTTATAGGGTCGGGGAGCAGAGGCTGAAGAAGAGTTGGGACCTGGCTCGGCCTGGCGAGGGGCAGCCTGGGAAGGAGGGGAGAGGTCAGATGGCTCTGTAGAAAAGAAGGATTCACAGGACTCAGCTTGGGGTGGAGACTGAAGGAACAAACAGGAGAGAAAGAAGAAAGATTTGGGGCGAGTCTCATTGGGAGCAGAGATTAGAAAGGGACCGATGTGTAAAAGAATGCCTGGATGTCAGGCACCTCAGACCATTTGTCCATTTTATGACGAGAATAATCTAGATCTTGTAGGATGGAGGAATCAAAAGTGCCGTTTTCTGGCTATTTAGAATCATTGTCAAGTTTGTACTGGGGCCAAGTGGTGTTGCAGAAGAAAATAAGACGCTTAGGTTTTAGGTCAGGTGTGAGTTGAAGAGGTTTTAAGTTTTTGAGAACACAGGCTAAGGGAGAAGAAGGAGGAAGGAGGGTGGAAGGTTGCCCATAGTGAAGGAGGCAAGCCCAGAGAAAAGAGAAGGTAGAGCCACGGAGTAGGGAGGTGGGGGTGAGCAGCCCTGGCCTGCAATGTGGGTGAGCAGCCAAAGCAGGCATCCCTGCAATTGACTTGCCACCAAGGGAATGTGGGTGAATGACCAAGGCAGGCATCCCCGCAGTGATCAGACACCAATGGAGTGTGGGTGAATGATCAGGCAGGCGTCCCGCAGTGATTAAACACGAAGGGAAGGCTGTCTTCCTGAGTCTGTGACTGGCGCCAGAGTTTTGGGTCCATGGATAAAATGTGTCTCCTTTGTCTCTACTAGAGAGGAAAAAGAGCTGGAATTGGAAGGACGGGGAGATTGAAGGGTAGCAAAAGAGGGAGATTGACGGGTAGCAAGAGAGACTGGAGAAGAGAGTGAAAAGACCGCTTACCTGATTTGAAATTGGTGAGATATTCCTTGGGCTGATTGGTCTGGGGACCCGAGGTCGTAGGTGGATCTCCTCTCGGAGTGAGGGCGAGGACAGGGGACTGGTCTCCCAAAGGAGTCCTCCTGTCCTGGGTCTTCGGCACCAAATGTCACGCACATCTCTGTAAAGAGACTACCAAACAGGCTTTGTGTGAGCAACAAAGCTGTTTATTTCACCTGGGTGCAGGCGGGCTGAGTCCGAAAAAGGAGTCAGCAAAGGGTGGTGGGATTATCATTAGTTCTTATAGGTTTGGGATAGGCATAGGAAGTACATTCTTAAGGGCAGAGAGAATATTACAAAATACCTTCTTAAGGGCGGGGGAGAATATTACAACGTACTTCTTAAGGGCGGGGGAGAATATTACAAAGTACCTTCTTAAGGGCCAGGGAGAATATCAGTTAGGGTGGGGCAGGAACAAATCACAATGGTGGAATGTCATCAGTTAGGACTATTTTCACTTCTTTTGTGGATCTTCAGTTGCTTCAGGCCATCTGGATGTATACATGCAGGTCATAGGGGATATGATGGCTTAGCTTGGGCTCAGAGGCCTGACAGTGGCTTGGTAGTGGTGAATTCTCTCAGCATTTGTTTGTCTGAAAAAGACTGTATCTTTCCTTCACATATGAAGCTTTGTTTCACTGGATACACAATTCTTGCCTGTTAATTGTTTTGTTTGAGAAGACTGAAGATAGTGCGCTAATGCTTTCTAGCTTGTAGGGCTTCTACTGACAAATCTGTTAATCTGACAGGTTTTTCTTTATAGGTTACTTGGTTCTTTTGTCTCACAGCTCTTTAGATTCTTTCCTTCGTCTTAACTTTAGATAGCTTGAAGACAATGTGCCTAGGCAATGATCTTTTTGCAGTGAATTTCCCAGATACTCTTTGTGCTTCTTGTATTTGGATGTCTAGGTATCTAGCAAGGCCGGGGAAGTTTTCCTTGATTATTCCCGCAAATGTGTTTACCTAACTTTCAGATTTCTCTTCTTTCACAGGAATGCCGATTATTCTTAGGTTTGGTCATTTAACATAATCCCAGACTTCTTGGAGGCGTTGTTCATATTTTCTTATTATTTTTCCTTTGTCCTTGTTGGATTGGGTTAATTCAAAGACCTTGTCTTCGAGCTCTGAATTTCTCTCTTCTACTTGTTTGATTCTATAGCTGAGACTTTTCCAGAGCATTTTGGATTTCTTTAAGTGTATCCATTGTTTCCTAAAGTTTTGATTGTTTTTTATTTATGCTATTTCATCTAATATTTCCCCTTTCACTTCTTGTATCATTTTTTTTATTTCCTTACGTTGGGCTTTGCCTTTCTCTGGTGCCTCCCTGATTAGCTTAATAACTGACCTCCTGAATTCTTTTTCAGGTAAATCAGGGATTTATTCTGGGTTTGGATTCATTGCTGGTGACCTACTGTGATTTTCGGGGGGTGTTAGGTGTTAAAGAACCTTGTTTTGTCATATTACCAGACTTGATTTTCTGGTTCCTTCTCCTTTCGGTAGCCTCTGTCAGAAGGAAAGTCAAGGGCTCAAGGCTGTTGTCAGATTCTTTTGTCCCATGGGGTGTTCCCTTGATGTAGTAGTCTCCCCCTTTTCCTATGGATGTGTCCTCCTGAGAGCTGAGCTGGAGTGATGGTTATCTCTCTTCTGGCTCTAGCCATCCAGCAAGTCTACCAGGCTCCAGGCTGGTACTGGGGTTGTCCGCATGGAGTCCTGTGTTGTGTACCATTTGTGGGTCTCTCAGCCATGGATACCAGCACCTGTCCCTGTGGAGGTGTCAGCAGGGTGAAATGGACTCTGAGAGTTCTTAGGTTTGGTGATTTAATGCACTATTTTTTTGCTGGTTGACTCCCTGTCAGGAGGTGGTACTTTCCAGAGAGCATCAGCTGTGGTAGTATGGGGAGGAACAAACAGTGGATGGGGACTGTAGAACTCCCAAGAATATATGCCTTTTGTCTAGAGATCCCAAGGTGGGTAGGGAAGGACCATTGGGTGGGGGCAGGGCTAGGTGTGTCTGAGCTCAGGCCCTTCTTGGGCGTGTCCAGGAAGAGCTGTGGGGAAAGGGGGTGAGGTTTCCAGGTCAATGGAGTTACGCTCCTAGGAGGATTATGGCTGCCTCTGCTGAGTCATGCAGATTGTCAGGGAAGTGGGGGAAAGCAGGCAGTCATAGGCCTCACCAAACTCCCATGCAATCCGAGGGGCCTGTCTCACTCCCACCATGCCCCCGCCAACAACACCAAGTCTGTTTCCAGGCAGTGGGCAAGCAGGGCTGAGAACTTGCTCCAGGCTACCCATTTCCCAGCTGCTAAAGCAAATATGGCTTTCCTTCTTCACCCGCCTGTGGAGTCTGCCCACCAGATTCACGCCCTTCCCTGAATTCTGGGAAGCAGACTTTTCCAGGAGACTTCTCCATCAGTTCAAAATGTTACAAAATTCAGCTGACGATTCCTTTTCCCTGTGGCCTTTCCCCGGTGCCTCTGGCCACCCTCCCGAAGGACCCCTGTGAGGACAGGCAGAAATGGTTTATTAGGGAACCCAGCAAGCTCACAGGGCTTTCCCTGCTGCTTTCTCTACCCCTGTATTTTGCTCGGCTCTCTCAGTTGACTCAGTTCCAGGTAAGGTCAGAATTTTCTCCCGTAACCTAGACCTTCAGGTTCCATAGTGGGGGTGTGTGTTTGAGGGATCTCTCTTTCCCACTTCCACAGTTTGGGTACTAACAGTATTTAGGGTGTCTCCTGGGTCCTGCAGGAGCAATGAGCAATCCACTTCCTTCAGAGGGTCTGTGGGTTCTCTTGGCTTTCCTGATTTATTCCTGCAGTCATTCTGTAGCAAAACATCATGATGTGAGGCTCCACAGGTTGCTCTGTCCATCAGAGTTGGAGCTGTTATCTAGTCCTGCCTCCTGTCTGCCATGATCTGCCCATCCCCCTAAACATTTTAAATAATCATATGTTTCTTGTTAAGTTTTAAGGGCTCTTTTTGTGTTATACATATTAGCCCTGAATTATATTTATCTCCCATTCTTCTACATGCCTTTTATTTACGTGTAGAAAGACTTTTTCCATCCTGAGATTATAAAAACAGTATTATTTTCCTTTTCCTTTACCACATTTAGACACTTGATCTACTGGAATATGGCGTATTTTCATTTATGGTATGAGGGAGAGAATAAGTTTAATTTTTCCCAGAAGTTCTCTGGTGTCCCAGTAGCATTTGTGGACTAGTCTATTTTCTTTTTTTTTCACTAACTGGAAATACCACATCATCCTCTAAATGATATGACCTACAGTAAAATTTATCTTAATTGACCTCCACTTAACATACTGAATGGGTTAATTGATAGTCTCTATTCTCTCTGTAAAACATACTGATGGAAGATCACAGTAAGCTTAATGTTTACTACTAATAGGCTACTTAGTACTATACTGGTATGATTCTGTTTCTTGCTTGTGGTTTTAGATCACTGATACTCAGATTTGATCATTCTGCAAACTTAATGTGAACTCTGCTTGCCATTGTGTATTAATTTAATTTATGTAAAGCAGTAAAATATGAAAGGAAGGAAAAGTGGTGTTTTGGAGAAAGCTAAATTAGGTGCTTTAGAAAGAAAAAATGAGTCACCAAAAATTTTGTGGCTAGTAAGGACATTGTATACAGTTTATTTAAATATTATAACATATATAGATCTAAGTTCTAGGAGCAGGGAATGAAATATGGATATAAAGGATTACTTTTCTCCTATAGAAAACTTATAGAGTTCAGCAACAAAAACAAATGGTTGAATTTGAGTGCAGTTTGGTATATGAGAGGAAGTTTATTTTCTGAATTATAGACCTTTAAAAATGTATTCTCTTGTGAAACATTTTAATGATGTAACTGTTGTAGTCCATTTGTGCTACTGTAACGAAATACCTGAGAATTGGTAATTTATAAAAACAGAAATTTATTTCTCTGACTTCTGGAAGCTGAGAATTCCAAGATCCAGGTTCTGGCAGGTTTGTTATCGGGTAAGGGTTCAGTCTCTGCTTCCAAGATGATGCCTTGAACATTGCATTCTCCAGAAAGGAAGCATAATATGCCCTCACATGACAGAAGGCAGAGGGGGAAAAAGAGACAAACTCCCTCTTTCGGTTCCTTCTCTAAGGTTACTTATTCCCAGTCACCAGTGTGGAGCCCTAGTGACTAGAGGACCTAACTTCTAGTAACATCACTTTGGTGATTAGGTTTTAACTCAGCTTTTAGGGAGGATACAACATTCAAACCCTAGCAGCAACTCATAGGTTTACATTATAAGTACATAGACCCAATTGAAATTTGTTAACAAAAACCTAGATTCGTAGTAGGCTAAATGTAGTGTTTTCATACTGCAGACTGTTGTCTCTTTTGAACATGATGTGGTATTTCTAACTAGTAAGTTAAAAATACTGATCTTTAACTCTAAAATAAAGAGAATGAAAACTAGATTACTGCATTGTATTAGTTTTCTGTCATTATATGACAACTTCAAAACTTAGTGACTTGAAACAATAACCATTTATCATATCAGTTTCTATGGTCAGAAATCAGGGAGTAGTTCAGGTGGGTGGTCTGGCTCATGATTTTTTCATGAGTTTATAGCCAAAATGATAGCCAGGGCTGCAGTCATCCGAAGCCTTGACTAGGGCTAAAGCATACATTTTTGAAATGATTAACTCATGGAATGCTGATTGTTGGCAAGAGCCGTCACGTCCTCCCCATATGGGTCTGTCCATGGGCCTACCTTAAGCGTATTCATAGCATGGTAGCTAGCCTCCCTCAGAATGTGCGATCCGAGAGAGAGTGAGGTAGAAAATGTAGTCTTTTATGACTAGTTCTTGAAGTCACATACCATCTGTCACATCTATGTATTTTTGTTAAAAGTGAATCAGTAGGACAGCTCACACTCAAAGGAAAAGGAATTAAACTCCAACTCTTAAAAAGGAGAGAAACCACCACACTGCAGATATTTATTTTGTGTGTGTGTGGATCAGTGAAGAGGAAGAGATTAATGTATAATGTTTGGTCTTCTTTTTAGGACACTGCCTTAGGAAAACCACGAGAGGTGTTTCGACTTCCTACAGATTTGACAGCATGTGACAACCGTCTTTGTGCGTCTATCCATTTCACATCTTCTACCTGGGTTACCTTGTCAGATGGAACTGGAAGATTGTATGTCATTGGAACAGGTGAACGTGGAAATAGCGCTTCTGAAAAATGGGAGGTGAGGGTTTGTTTGAGACTTATGCAAAGTCCAGAAAGTATATGTAAATTACACCCGACTTATTTTAAAATGACACTTTTCAAGGATGGTTTACATGTGATCTGTTGTTTGATATATAATGTTTTGGATCTCTTTTTAACTAAATTATAAAATGTATATTTTTCACAAACTGTTACATTAACCATTCCTATTTTGATCTGGAGTCAGTGCAATTGTCAAGAATTGCTTTCATTTTTCAGCAGATATTTTATACGCGTAGAGTACTTCACTAAGCGTTGACATTGCCTCTTCCTTTTTGAAGAAGAATTGACCAAAAGCTTATGTTAGGATGTTTTTCTCCTCTACCATTATGTTAGATTTTCTGGGATGTTTACATTGGTCAAATAGTGGTCAAATTACCAGAATATTCTGTATTTAGAAAAATATGTGATATAAATATATAGTTACATGCCAATTTCCAAGACAACATTTTTACTTTAATTTAAAAAGTTAGATATAAATCTAAAGGGTAGGTTGGGGTTTTAATAGTAATAATAATAATAGTAATAATAGTAATAAATAAGGAATTAATTTCTCTAGAACTACAGTTTTTGAAAGTAGAAGAAAATGATGCCAAGCAGATAATCAAAAGATTTAGTTTACTGCTTCAGCTCCTTTGAGTTATGCTAATAAGTGTATTGTAATATTGCTACTGTCTGAATCTCAGCAGGTAGCCTTTAGTTCTGGGTAAAGAGATGCGAGCTTAATATATTTATATCTTATAAAATAATTTCATCTGACCAACAGATGCCTGCAAAGACCAGGCTTTAATTACTTGAAAAAAACCAGGGAGGTCTTAGAACCAAATAGTTTACCTACCTTACTAAGTTATACTAAAGGTTATACTACCAAATTATAGTATGTTCAAAATACACAGTAAATAACCAGAACAGCAGTAGCCTATTTACCAGAGCCTGTTACATTCACAGTTTCAAATATTCATTGGATACTGTGACAATTTCTGTTTTGGCCTTTAGTAACAACTTTAATTTTTCTGAAAAACAGAAGTAATGTGGTATGTAGCACAGCTACCTGAAACAGTTGGAAGGTATTTTGAGAATAATGGACAGGAGAGAGAGAGTGGGAATTTATATGGTATTGAGCTGTATGGATTCTGTAGATTTTGAACAAGACAAACCTACTTGGCTCACTTTCATCTTAAAAATAATACCACACATTATTTTATATGAACTTATACTTCTTTTGGTTTTGTTTTGTATATCCCCTTGGCATGTATTAGGCCTTCAATAATATCTTTTAAATAAATTAAAAACTTAAATATACCTGTGGCTTCTTTAGTGTATACTGCCCTAATGAAATAAGCTCCCTTAGCAGATGTTTTCAGCTGATAATAGTTTTGACTAAGTACTGGTAGGAGAGGGAGGAGACTTGGGCATTAATGGAGGTGGGAGGGATACTGTGTTATATTGGTCACTTTTAAGAAACAATTTAGGAGGGTTTTAGAACTTTAGGGTAATTAGTGTAAAAGAGAAGAAGCTGAAAGTGGAAGTGATTATGGAGCATGGTAAGGGGAAAGGGGACCAAGGGTGGTAGTGGCGATTACTGAAGTTTAAAAAGAGAAATTAAAGGAGATAGCTTGCTTTCCAAATGTATTGCCTCTAATACCATGGAAGCGCTGTGTATCTGCGGTATCACAATTTAGATGCTGAGCTTGTTCAGAAAACTAGAAACATCAGCCTAACAATTTTTAAAAGTATGCCATCTACTCTTTTGGTTTCATTCCAGAAAGAAAAAAAGAAACCATAAACTAGCTACTTGTTCCTGCCAAAACTTGTCATTTTCTGTTCTTCCCTTTTGTTTCCACTGTTCCCCAAACAAAAGCAAAACCCAATCAACCAATAAAAACCTGCCTTCATCTGTCATCTCTGTTTTGAGTATTTAAGGATTTTTTTTTTTAAGTTTTTGCTTTTTCAGTTTATGGAAATCTTAAGAACGGATTCTGAAGGCCCACTACTTGAATGATTTTGGCAGATGTTCAAATACATAGGGAAGTTGATGACATTAAAGCACACTTTTCTTTGTAAGTTTTCAAGTAGGAGTAGATAAGTTTTCAAGTAGGAGTAGATTCCAGGTATAGGGTTTTTTGTTTTTGTTTTTGTTTTTAAGCAACCTTTTTTTCAGTTAGGCTTTTTCTCAACTGTCCATATTTTATTTGGAAATCTTGTTTAGGAAGCAGCCTATGGCCAGGCGCGGTGGCTCAAACCTGTAATCCCAGCACTTTGGGAGGCCGAGACGGGTGGATCACGAGGTCAGGAGATCGAGACCATCCTGGCTAACACGGTGAAACCCCGTCTCTACTAAAAAATACAAAAAAAAACCTAGCCGGGCGTGGTGGCGGGCGCCTGTAGTCCCAGCTACTCGGGAGGCTGAGGCAGGAGAATGGCGTAAACCCAGGAGGTGGAGCTTGCAGTGAGCTGAGATCCGGCTACTGCACTCCAGCCTGGGCGACAGAGCGAGACTCCGTCTCAAAAAAAAAAAAAAAAAGGAAGCAGCCTTAAAACGTTCTTTATTTTGTATTTACTCTTAAAAATATAATAGTAGTTGAGATCTTGTGTTTGTGGTATAAGAAGGAATTTGATAAGATTTTGTGTGTTTCTGTATGATGCTTAGGTAAGATTTTGTGTGTTTTTATATGATGCTTTTTTGCTTTTCAAAAAACACTTTAGGATTATATTTTAAATAGAGTTTATTAACTTATTCTTAAATGCTAATAGGCTTTTCTGTTTTTGAGAAAAAACATGTTTTGGTGATTTATTCTTCAATGTTTTTTACTCTTGCCTTTGTAAACTTCTAGAGAATAAACAAACAGGAAAAAGGCGTATACACATGCACATTCATATGCAGTATCTGAAAACTGAGAGGAAGCAAGGTAGCCAAGACTAATGATCAGTTTTTTCTTACACAGATAAATATTTTCTTAAAAGTTCTGTCCTCAGGGAACATTATCTAAACTCGCAGTCTTTATGTAAAGGCCTTTCTCTTTTTAAATTTCTTGTAATAGTGTCCAAAGTAACTGTTGAATCACCAGAATCTTATGTATTCCGTCTGTGCTATCTGTGTTCATGTAATTATGTACACATTTTTGTGTGTCTAATTTTGTTTTGTAGATTATGTTTAATGAAGAACTTGGGGATCCTTTTATCATAATTCACAGTATCTCATTGCTAAATGCTGAAGAACATTCTATAGCTACCCTACTTCTTCGAGTAGAGAAAGAAGAATTGGATATGAAAGGAAGTGGTTTCTATGTTTCTCTGGAGTGGGTCACTATCAGTAAGAAAAATAAAGGTAAAACAAAATCTGAATCTCTCTCTACTGGTTGCCATTATTTAGTAGATTTTGAAACGCAAAACTGTCCCTGTAAATGCTGTTTGTTTTTTCTTGGGCATTGTGTTACAATTCTGGCACCTGCCACCACTGGTGGAATGAATATGTATAGGTAGTTTTTTCCTCAGGTATATTTTATAGAAAAAAAATGCAGTGTGCTTCCACAGCCAATTATGCGTTTTATATAAAAGAAGACATTGTTATATAAGTTTTGAATAATTTAACAGGTGTATTTTTAATATATACAAAAATATATGCATATATATGTGTGATGCACAAAAATTTATACCTAAAACTAAATGTAAGTTAATAAATTATAGTATAATTTAAATGTAAATAAATATAAATACTTACTTGGAAATGAATGTCTTTATTTCATTAAATTACAAGTATGATTTCTTTTAAATCTAATTGAACTTCATTATTTGTTTCTACATTTAAGAAAACTGTTACTGTGCTCCCATGTTTAGAATAGTCCTGAACCTTGGTCTGTTTGAAGCTGTCTGTCAAGCTTCTAACTTGACTTTAAAAATTACAATCTCATGAATTAATTAGGATTTTTTTTAGTGGTATTGAGAAAGCTCTTTGCCTTTGCTTAGTTCCTACTGACTCATTGAGTGTTTTCTTTTTAATTGTAGTTGAGTACTGAGAGTGCTTGTTTCCATAATGACTCTATGCTCTTTTTCTCAGTAGTTTTTATTAGCTGACTCATTTATGAGTAAGTTAATATAAATTAAATTATCACTCATCACTATAGAAAAATATTTCTTCACCTTAGCTACTAGTTTGCAATTCAATAAAGACATTAGCAGTTGTTTTGTAAGAGGGTTTTGCCTTTTATTCTAAAACAAACAGCTGTCTGTCTGTCTGTCTGTCTGTCTATCTATCTAATAGATATCTCAAAATAGTTTATAAATAAACTGAATAAGTCTCCTAGATTTATTCTTTGAAGTATTCAATATAATTTATTAGTTCTTTTTGGTGTTGTAGTTTTATCTCTAGAGGAACACAGTAACTTTAAACTTTAAATTAGATACTAGAAAACTTTTTTGAAGTCCCAGTTGGTAACCATAAGATCTATGTCACAGCTATCTGAGTATACCGACACAGTGCAAAAGCAGCCATAGACAATATATAAATGAATGAGTATAGCTGTGTTCCAATCATACTTTATGGACATTGAAATTTGAATTTTATGTTTTTTTGACATATATTTAAATATTCTTTAAATATTACCATTTTAACAATTTAAAAATATAAAACTCATGCTTAGCTCACAGGCCATACAAAAATAGACCTAGATTCAGCTTTGACTCAAGGGTCCTAGTTTGCAGAACCCCTGCTTTAGATAATGGAAACCTTAATTTTTTTAAGGTACATAATTCAAAATCTTACAGGAGACACTGTCATGCATATTCCTCCTCCTTTCTCCAAGACACTTGCTTCTGTAACATCTTTTTCTCAGTCTGTGGTAACTCATCAAATTGCCTCAGAACATAGCAGTACTCTGCTCCAGCTCTATCTTCTCCATCCCCTTTGTCTTCATTTCTTTGCCTCAACTGGACAGATACATTGAGACTAACCTTTTTTCTCCCAAGATTGTAGTTGTAGAATCATTAATTCTCTTTATTGTTCCCTTTATCTTTCTTTTATATCTTCTTCCTTCTCTCCCAGACTATTACTAATATGATTTTTTTCTTTTTCTTTTTAATTAACAGAACTGTGTTTTTGTGAACTATTTTGAATGAAACATTTCATAAATTATATTTATGGTCACATAAGTTTGAAAATGTGGGCATAAAATAACTCCATTGCACATTAAGCATATTAAAGTTTCTAAAAATTGTGAGTAAAAAAAATTTAGGCTAGATGCAGAGGCTCATACCTGTTATCTCAGCACTTTGGGAGGTCAGAGCAGGCGGATCACTTGAGCCCAGGAGTTTGAGACCAGTCTGGGCAACGTAGTGAGGCCCTGTCTGTACAAAAATTACAAAAACATTAGCTCGGCATGGTGGTGTGCACCTATAATCCCAGCTACTCTGGATGCTGAGGTGGGAGGATTGCTTGAGCCTGGGAGTTTGAGGCTACAGTGAGCTGTGATCTTGCCACTGCATTTTAGCTTGGGCAACAGAGCAAGGCCCTGTCTCAAACAAACAAAAAAATTTATGCTTAATTTTAACCTAGCATTTCTCCACATATTTAACCATGGAATCCAGTTTTTTAGAATTCCTATTCCTTTCTGTCCCATGCATGTTGGGAAAGGCCACCCTAGAAATATGTAACGTCTGTGTTTGGATCTTTAAAGTCAAGTAGGACTTTTGGCCCTACATGTATCTATAGGGGAAGTGTAGGAGTTTTGTTCATTCAGTAAATTACAAGCCTGTCCTTAAATATGTGTGAATTGAATGTGTGAATGTAGGTGAGGATTTTGAGTAAAAACAATGAGATATTTTAGAACAGATGGTATTATTATGTAAAAACTCATAATAATATGACATTGAGTTGTGATTTTTGACTACTCAGTATGAAGCCTACAAGTACAACCCACTTTAAAGAATAACAGTATAGGTAAAAGTATGGAGTCAGCTAAAATATTTGAGTACTTTTTAAAGCAAAAAATTACTGTCTTTATAGGAAAATAAATTCAATTTGTCAGAAACTTTTGGAATACAGTTGTTTATATCTTAAAAGTAGCACTAATTTATGTTTAATTATAAGCATATATATAAATGTCTTGAGTGGGTTATAAAAATTATTTCTGCTATAAATTTATTTCATTGTTAAAATACCCCTTATCAGGAGTTAGAGCAGGCAGAAAAATAGTCCACACTGCATGTTTCCCCTTGTCCTCAATTTGTGACTTTTCAGAAGATGCGTATCACATACCTGCTGAGAAGGCAGACAGGCTTTAGTCAAGGAGAGGTAGGTCATACAGAAGCTGTTATTCCAAGTAAGCCAGTCATGTTGGAGTTCTGGGGCACTGCTGTCTAATAGAGATTTCTCCAAGATGGACATGTCTTATATGTGTACCATTCACTGCAGTAACTACTAGCCATGTGTAGCTGTTGAGCAATTAAAATGTGGCTACTGTGACTGAGGAATTTAAATTTTACTTAATTTTAAGTAGCCACTTGTGGCCAGTGACTACCACATTGGACAGGACAATCAGGAATAAATTTCACCAGACCCAGCATTTTAAAATAGGGACTTATTTACAGAAAATTAGGTTGTAAATTGTTTACCTTAGGAAAAGACTCTTAATAGTATACCTTTTAATAGTACATTAAAAGTATTTAATTATAATTAAAATCAATATTTAAGTATCAGAATATTTTGATAATAGTTTTTATTTGTAATGTTTTGTTCTAAAATACTTTTTCTTACAGATAAGAAAAAATATGAAATTATTAAGCGTGATATTCTCTGTGGAAAGTCAGTGCCACATTATGCTGCTATTGAGCCCGATGGAAATGGTCTAATGATTGTATCTTACAAGTCTTTCACATTTGTTCAGGCTGGTCAAGATCTTGAAGAAAATATGGATGAAGACATGTCAGAGAAAATCAAAGGTAATTTTTATTCTTAAAAGTGCTTGTTTGTATTTGCATAAACATATATTTGTCTTTTGTTTTCCCAGTTAATAGTTCTACATGGGCAAGATAAATGCATAATTTTTTCTTTATTTTCTCATATATTTTCCAAAAGTCTTTTGTAAGGTATACTACCGTAATAGTGTGAATGAACTGGTTTAATTTGATCATTTTGTTATTACCAAAATGTTTTTTTTAAAAATCATTTATTAGCTTTCTTGATTAGATGCTTAATAAATAGTTATCAAATAAATAAATAATGTCTATTTGCTATTAGTGTTGATGGTATTAATAGTGTAATATTGAAGATACTAATTTTTAAAAATAAATTAAGCTAACCTACCTGTTCTTACCTTTTATACTAAACTGAAAGTAAGTTCCTTGAGGGCAGAATCACATAATTTTATCAATGTTGAATGAATGCATGAAGGTTATGTTTTAGCATGAAAAGACTGGCCAGACACAGTGGCTCCCGCCTGTAATCCCAGCACTTTGGGAGGCCTAGGCGAGCGGATCACAAGGTCGGGAGATCGAGACCATTCTGGCTAACACGATGAAACCCCATCTCTACTAAAAATACAAAAAAAAAATTTGGGCACGGTCCCAGGCAACTGTAGTGCCAGCTACTTGGGAGGCTGAGGCAGGAGAATTGCTTGAACCCAGGAAGCAGATGTTGCCGTGAGCCGAGATTGTGCCACTGCACTCCAGCTTGGGCGACAGTGAGACTCTGTCTCAAAAAAAAAAAAAAACAGGATAAGACTAACAAGAAATTTCAGAAGAAATTTATATTTGTAAATAAAGAACAGACATTCTTTTAAAACTATTCAAGAGAACATTCCTCTGTAATAATTACTGTTCATATTTCTGATGTTCATAGCCAGAGAATAGTATATTTTGCTTAACAGAGATTTTTACAATATTTAATAATTATACATATTTTTCTTTGAATCTACCTTTTTTGTTAAACAAGTTAATTATTTTAAAAATTGGTTTTACCTTTTTATTTTTAAGTGAAATCACGTTGATTAAGAAAGTAAGGAAATAAAAGAATGGCTACTCCATAAGCAGAGCAACCTAGGTTTACTATTTTTGGATGCCTTAAAAAATGAATTATTTGAAAAAATTTGAAAATATTAATGTAGTGTATAATTGAAAAATATTTTCCACAGAGTTTATAAATATATGCACCTCTGAATACAAATCTTGAACTTAGTAGGCCTTCAGACTTTTAACACGTTCGTTTCCTCATATGGGATTCGTTTTTTGTTAGATTATCTCTTAAGATCCTTTCCTGAATAAATGTTACTGTTTTGTCTAATTAGGATGCTAACCTCATCTAAAGCTTAGCCAGAATAGCTATTTATTTCTCTAGATCATGCGTCTTTAGAATTCCTTTGGTAAGCAATTGTGAGGGACTAGAATGAATGCCTTAATCTTTGGAGCCATTCTGCCCAGATAACTTGGAACCATGTAGTTCCAAGAGAGATTGAAAGCCTAAGTGGGACACATTGTGTGTTTAAATTACTACCATAGGTATTGTTTTTCTTGATAACATCTCATGCTATATCTTGACTTCCCCCCAAATTCATTGTTTATTTTGTCATAGGATTTTCACAGTAATAAAGGAAAAGTGTTGTAATTTTTTAAAATTATGGGTAGTTTGGTCATTGATTGGCATGTGTAATACTTTCTGAATATTAATATATATACTGGTTTCCTTTCTGTTAACTTCAGGAAGACTGGTATTATCTATTGGCTGTTTGGCATTTTAATAATATGTTTTTAAAGACCTAAAACACAATCTCTAAAGGCATAGAAAGGTAGTCAAAGAAACCGATAATTAAGAAAATTATTTCGGTGTTTGTATACATTCAACAATGTATACAGTGGGGAAGTGATTAAAAAATTGTAACTTTCCCTTTAGTCTACATCCATGGCCTTTAATTAATTAATACATTTTTAAAATTTCAACTTTTATTTTAGATTCAGGGACTACATGTGAATGTTGTTTTACCTGAGTGTATTTACATGGTGCTGAGATTTGGGGTACGATTGATCCTGTCACCCAGGTACTGAGCATAGTACCCAACAGTTATTTTTTCAACCCTTTCTAGCCCCTCTAGTAGTCCGTAATGTGTGTTGTTGCCATCTTTATGTCCATGAGTACCCAGTGTTTAGCTCACACTTATAAGTGAGATCATGTGGTGTTTGATTTTCTGTTCCTGCACTAATCTGCATAGGATTATGGCAACTTGCTATATTCATGTTTCTGCAAAGGACATGATTTTGTTCTTTTACCTGGCTGTGTAGTATTCCATAGTGTATATGTGCCACATTGTTTTTTTCAGTCTGCTGTTGATGGCCACCTATGTTGATTCCATGTCTTTACTGTGGTGAATAGTGCTGTGATGAACTACTAGCCCATGTGTCTTTTTGGCAAAAAAATTACTTATTTTTTTATATATATATATATATACACACACACACACACCCCCAGTGTTGAGATTACAGGGTTGAACTGTAGTTCTGTTTTAAGTTCTTTGAGAGATCTTCAAACTGCTTTCCACAGGGGCTGAATTAATTGACATTCCCACCAATAGTGTATCAGCATTCTCTTTTATCCACAGCCTTATCAGCATGTGTTGTTTTTTGACTGTTTATTAATAACCATTCTGACTGGTGTGAGATGATACTATCCTTGTAGTTTTGATAGTGCTGATGATTAGTGATGAGTATTTTTGCATGTTGGCCATTTGTATGTCTTGTTTTGCGAAGTGCTGTTCATGTCTTTTGCCTATTTTTTAATGGAGTTATTTGTTCTTTGCTTGTTCAGTTGTTTAAGTTCCTTATAGAGCCTTGATATTAGACTTTTGTTGGGTGCATAGTTGCAAATATTTTTTCTGATTCTATAATTTGTTTACTCATAGTTTCTTTTTCTGTGGAGGAAGTCTTTCATTTAATGAGGTACCATTTGTCAGTTTTTTTGCTGTTGAAATTACTTTTGAGTACTTAGTCATAATTCATTTTCAAGGCCAGTGTCCACAATGGTGTTTCCTAGGTTTTCTTCTAAGATTCTTACAGTCTGAGGTCTTACATTTAAATCTTCAGTTCATCTTGAGTTAATTTTTGTATATGGTGAGAGGTAGGGAACCAGTTTCATTTTTCTGCGTATGGCTAGCCAGCTATCCCAGCACCCTTATTGAATAGGGACTCCTTTCCCTATTGCTTGTTTTTGCTGCCTTTATCCAAGATTATCAGATGAGTATAGGTGTGTGGCTTTATTTCTTGGTCCACTGGTCTGTGTATCTGTTTTTGTACCCTTTTTGGTTATTGTAGCCCTGTAGTATACTCCGAGGTCAGTTAGTGTGATGCCTCTGGATTTGTTCTTTTTGCTTAGGTTGGCTTTGGCTATTTGGGCTCTTTTTTGGATACATATGAATTTTAGAATAGTTTTTTCTAGTTCTGTGAAATAATACTGGCAGTTTGATAGGAATAGCATTTAATCTGTAGACTGTTTTGAGCAGTATGGACATTTTAATGATATTGATTCTTCCAACCCATTAACTTGGAATGTTTTTCCAGTTATCTGTGTCATCTGTTATTTCTTTCAGCAGTGCTTTGTAATTCTCCTTGCAGAGATCTTTCACCTCCTTGTTAGATGAATTCCTAGGTATTTTATTATTATTATTATTATTATTATTATTGGTAGCTACAGTAAATGGGATTGTGTTCTTGATTTGGCTCTCAGCTTGAACATTATTGGTTTGTAGAAATGCTACTGGTTTTCATACATTGATTTTGTATTCTGAAACTTTACTGAAGCCATTTGTCAGTTCCAGGAGGCTTTTGGTGGAATCTTTAGGATTTTCTAGGTATAGAATTATATCATCTGCAAAGTTTGACTTTTCCTAATTGGATACCTTTTATTTATTTCTTTTGCCTGATTGCTCTGGTTAGTACTTCCAGGACTATGTTGAATAAGAGCTGTTGAGAGTAGGCATCCTTGTTTTGTTTCAGTTATCAAGAGGAATGCTTCGTTTTCGCCTCTTCAGTATGATGTTGGCTGTGAGTTTGTCGTAGATGGCTCTTGTTATTTTGAAGTATGTTCCTTTGATGCCTAGTTTCTTGAGGATTTGTAAAATGAAGGGATGTGGAATTTTATTGAACACTTATTCTTCATCTATTGAGGTGTTCTATGATTTTCGTTTTTAATTCTGTTTATGTAGTGAATCACATTTATTGATTTGCATATGTTAAACTAACTTTGCATCCCCAGGAAGGAAGCCTACTTGATCATAGTCAATTAAGTTTTTGATGTGCTGTTGGATTCAGCTTGCTAGTATTTTGATGAACATTTTTGCATCTGTGTTCATCAGGGATATTGACCTGTAATTTTTATTTGTGTGTGTGTCTTTGCCTGGTTTTGGTATCAAGGTGATGCTGCCTTCATAGAGTGAGTTGGGGAGGAGTTCCTCCTCCTCGATTTTTTTGGAATAGTTTCAGTAGAATTGGTACCGGCTTTTCCATGTATGTCTAGTAGAATGTGGATGTGAATCCATCTGCCCAGAGCTTTCTTTGGTTGATAGATTTTTTATGACTAATTGAATTTTGGAACTTGATATTGGTCTCCTCAAGGTTTCAGTTTCTTTCTGATTCAGTCTTGGGAGATTGTTTTCTAGGAATTTATCCATTTTCTCTGAATTTTCTAGTTTGGGTAATACAGGGGTTCATAATAGTCTCTGGATTTGACTGTGTTTATTTGCGTCTTCTCTTTGTTAATCTAGCTAACAGCCTATTGATCTTGTTTATCCTTTCAAAAAAAAAACTTTTGGTCTCATGGATTCTTTGTTTGGATATTTGGGTCTCAATTTCATTCCATTCTGCTTTGATTTTAGTTATTTCTTTTGCTAGTTTTGGTGTTAATTTGGTTTTTTTCTTGTTCTTCTGGGTGTGATATTAGATCATTAATTTGAGATTTTTCTAACTTTTTGAGGTAGATACATAGCACTTTCCTCTTAACACTGCTTTTGCTGCATCCCAGATAATTTCCATGATATTGTGTGATTTTAGAGAGATCATCTTGGTATTGATTTCTATTTTTATTCCACTCTGATCTTAAAGTATGATTGGTATGATTTCATTTTTTATAATTTATTGAGACTTGCTTTATGGCTGAGCGTGTGAGTGATCTTGGAGTATGTTCTGTGTGCAGATGAGTAGGATTTATATTCTGTGGTTGATGGGTGGGGTCTTCTGTAGATGTCTGTTAGATCAAGTGTCAAATTTAAGTCCATAATTTTTCTTTAGTTTTCTACCTTGATGATCTGTGGGATGCTGTGAGTGGTATGTTGAAGTTCCCCACTATTGTCTTGTGGCTAAGTCTCCATAGGTCTAGAAGTACTTGTTTTATGTATCTGGGTGCTCCAATGTTGAGCACCCGGATATTTGGGATAGTTCAGTCTTCTCATTGAATTAAACCCTTTATTATTATGTAATGCCCTTTATCTTTTTTTTACCTTTGTTGGTTTAAAGTATGTTTTATCTGATGTAAGAACTGCGACCCCTGCCCTTTTTGTTTGCCATTTACATAGCAGGTTTTTCTCCAGCCCTTTACTTTGAACCTGTGAGTGTCATTATGTGTCTGATGAGTCTCTTGTAGAATGCAGATGGCCCTTGTTTTTTTTTTTTTTTTTTTTTTTAACTCCAACTTTCCACTCTGTGCCTTTCAGGCGGGATGTTTTGATCATTTACATTTAACGTTAATATTCTTATGTGAAGTTTTGATTCTATCATGAAGTTGTTACTGGTTGCTTCATAGTTTCTATCGTGCAGTTGCTTTACAGGGACTGTGACTCTGTCCTTGTGTTGTTGTGGTAGCAGATATTGTTCTTCTGTTTCCCTGTTTAGAACTTCCTTAAAGATCTCTTGTTAAGGCTGGTGTAGTGGTAACTAATTCTCTTAGTGCTTGCTTGCCAGGAAAAGATTTTGTTTCTCTTTTCACTCATGAAGCTTAGTTTAGTGGATATGAAATTCTTGGTTGGAATTTCTTTAAAAATTCTGCAAATAGGCCCTCAATCTCTCCTAGCTTGTGAGGTTTCTGCTGAGAAGTCTGCTGTTAGCCTAATGGGGTTCCCTTGTTTGTAATCTCTTTTCTCTAGGTGACTTTAAGGTTTTTTCTTTAGTGTTGACCCTGGACAGTCTCGTGCTATATGCCTTGGTGATCTTCATTTTGTATAGTATTTCTCAGGTGTTCTCTTGATTTCTTACACCTGGATGTCTACCTCTCTAGCAGGATTAGGGAAATTTTCTGAATTATTCCCTCAAATATGTTTTTCAGTTTGTTTAGTGTTTCTTCTCTGGAATGCCAGTAGTTCATAGGTTTGGTTACTTTATATAATTTCATATTTCTAAGAGACTTTGTTCATTTTTTAAAATTCTTTTTTTCTTTATTTTTGTCTAGCTAGCTAGTTTGAAAGACTGGCCTTCAGGTTCTGAAATTCTTTCTTCTGCTTGGTCCAATCTGTTGATAAAGCTTTCAATTGTATTTGGAAATTCCATAAGTGAGTTTTTCAATTCCAGAAGTTTGTATTGATTTATTTTAAAGATGTTTATCTCTTCCTTCATTTCTTGGATTGCTTTAGAAGTTTCTTTGTATTGATTTTCAACCTTGTCTTAGATCTTGTTGGGCTTCCTTGCAATCCATACTTTGAATTCTTTGTCTCTTATTTCTGAGTTTCTATTTTGGTTAAGGACCATTTCTAGAGAGCTAGTGATATTTTGTGTTGTGTCACTACATTCAGATTTTTTTTATGGTGCCACAATTCTTGCACAGGTTTCTTTTTCTTTTTTTTTTTTGAATTGTTTTGTATTATACTTTAAGTTCTGGGATACATGTGCAGAACGTGCAGGTTTGTTATATAGGTATACACCTGCCATGGTAATTTGCTGCACTCATCAACCCGTCATCGACATTAGGTATTTCTCGTAATGCTATCCCTCCCCTAGCCCCCCACACGCCGACAACACTGGTGTGTGATGTTCCCCTCCCTGTGTCCATGTGTTCTCATTGTTCAATTCCCACTTATGAGTGAGAACATGCGGTATTTGGTTTTCTGGTTTCTTATCTAGAGATCCTGGCACTTCTAATTTTTATAATATTTCTGTGCAGGTAAGATTCTTTTTTCTTTCTTTCCTTATTTTATATATATATATATGTTTTTTTCCTTTCTTTCTCTTTCCTTCTCTTGGGGTGTGACTGTAGAGAATGCTGAGTAGGGTCTTTGGGCTTTCCTTCCATAGCCCTATGCACTTCTGTTGGCAGGTTGTATATTGGGCTATGCAGTTTAACCTACAAACCGGTAGATGGTGCTTATTAGTAACAGCCAATTGCAGCCAGTGCAGCTGGGTATATACTTAATCCTTGTTTACTGGGAGAACTCTCTGTTGCCTCAGGGAATGGGCTGTTTCTTGGATTGCACAGTTGTCTGAGCTCCCTGCTCAGCCCTGGGGATTGGGTGCCAAGATGGGCAGGATGAGACTGGGCAGATCTGCCTACAGATCCCCCTGTGGCAGGTGTGGGCACCAGCGCTGAGGGAGAATCTACCTGGCAGCCAGTAAATGCCCACAGGCGTGCCTAAGAAACACCCCCAGCCCCACGTTCTCTGGACAGGGTTCGGGAGATGGCATGAACTCCTAATTTAGGAGAGCTACAGGTGCCTGGAGCTCTGCCTGGGCAGGGAGCAGAGAGGGCCCCTCTGTATGAAAATCTCTGCACAGGAAATGTAGGTTAACTCAGGCTGTTGAAACAGGCAAACAGGTGCTTTGAATGCCTGAAGGTCTGCCTGAGTGTGAAGCAGAGAGGGCCCCCCTACACCAGATCTACGCATAGGAAACGTGGGGCAGTTCAGGCTGCCAGTCTGGGCAAGGAGGTGCTTTGAATGCCTGGAGGTCTGCTTAGATGTGGAGTGGAGAGGGCCCTGCTGCACTGTGATGTATGCACAGGAAGGGTTGGGGTAGTATGGCCTTTAATTTATACTAAAAGTGCATGTGATTTTGCACATCCTTCCATTCCCATGATCTGGCAGAAGCTATCCATTGAGATATTATTATGTAACCACTTTGCTAGCTTTTCTGGGTAACGTATTTTGTGTTCTTTTGAACTAAGAAATCACTGTGTGTGTGTGCGTGTGTGTGTGTGTGTGTGTGTGTTTAAGGGAAGGAGTGAAAGAGGGATGAAGGGAGGGAGAGAGAAGAAATGAGGATAAAGGATTGCTATCATTAGTATTTTATGAGTGCTTTATCTCCTCAAGCATTAGGTGAGTCTGGAAGGGGAAATTTTCATGTGAATTACTACAAATCTGTGAGTGAAAATTCCTCAAAGAGATCTGTGCATGTTTGTTTATAATTACATTTTGTGAGATAATCACTAGTAAATATACTAAAATTCTTTTAGATAGGTTTTTTGTGTGTGTATGTTTTCTCTAATTTCTTATTACATGATGCATTTTTCTTTTCCCAATAGAACCTCTGTATTACTGGCAACAGACTGAAGATGATTTGACAGTAACGATAAGGCTTCCAGAAGACAGTACTAAGGAGGACATTCAAGTACAGTTTTTGCCTGATCACATCAACATTGTACTGAAGGATCACCAGTTTTTAGAAGGAAAACTCTATTCATCCATTGATCATGAAAGCAGTACATGGATAATTAAAGAGAGTAATAGGTATTTTTATAATTTTAATATTCTATTACCTTTTTTTCTTTTTACTCTTTCCACAGTGGATACATCAGAGATTAATACAATAGTTCTCTCTGTATTACTGGTTACTTTTCTTAAGATACATTAAAAATAGAATTACTGTGTCAAAGAGCATGTTTCTAGTTGAAATTAAAGATAATAGCATAATTATCACTTGGAGAATATGGTAGTGCTTTGTTTTACCAGCTCTGGATACAATAATAATCATAGTTGAAAATGGCTATTTATTTTAAATTGCACTTTTTCAAACTTTTTAATAGAAATAATTTTTTTAACTTTAATTTGCTGGCTTGATAATATATTTCCATTCTTTAAAATTTAAAATATACAAAAGGATATAGAGTGAGAAGTCTACCTCCAACACAAGCCTGTGGGTCACCCATCCTCCCACTCACAATCATTGTTGTTACATTTTGCATACATTCAAGCACCAGACATACATTTTTCTTTTCTTTAAGGAAAACTACTTTTGGCGGCTAGCTGCAGTGGCTCATGCCTCTAATCTCAACGTTTGGGATGCTGAGGTAGGAGGATTGCTTGAGGCCAGGAGTTTGTGACCAGAGTAGGCAAAAAGAGAAAATCCTGTCTCTAACAACAGCAAAAAAGTTTTTAACGCATACTTTACACAATTATACATCTTGGTTTTGTTCACTTGCAATGATAAATCTTAGGGATCTTTCCATAATGAATATATAAAAATTATTAAATTCTCTTTTATGACATGGTATTTTATTCTATCAACTGCACCATCATTTTAGACAATGAATCCTCTATTGTGTTAATTTAGGTTGTTTTCAATAATGTCTGTGTGTATACATATTATTTCACATGTGTAGAAGTATATATGAAGGATAAATTTCTAAAAGCGGAATAATTAATATTTCTTTGTAAATTGTAATTTTTTCTTATGTAAATTCTCCATTTACATTTCTTTTGTGAATTGTGTGTTCAGTACACAAAGCCATAAAAGAAATACGTAAGTGGTCAGGCACAGTGGCTCATGCCTGTAATCCCAGCACTTTAGGAGGCTGAGGCGGGTGGATTGCCTGAGGTCAGGAGTTCGAGACCAGCCTGACTAACATGGTGAAACCCCGTCTCTACTAAAAACACAAAAATTAGCTGGGCGTGGTGGCGGGTGCCTGTAATCCCAACTACTTCAGGGGCTGAGACAGGAGAATTGCTTGAACCCGGGAGGCGGAGGTTACCGAGACCGGGCCATTGCTCTCCATCCTGGGCAATAAGAGAGAAACTCCGTCTCAAAAAAAAAGAAATACATAAGTTAAACTTCATCAAAACAGGCATTTTCTGCATGGCAAAATTAAAAATTTTTGTTCTTCTAAAGATACCATTAAGAAAACTAAAAGGTAAGCAAGCCATGGACTGGGAAAAAATATTCACAGTACTCATCTTAAACAAAGGGTTTTCATTCTTAGTGTATAAGGAAGCCTTACAAATTCATAATAAAAAGAAGCCATTTTTTTTAAATAGTCAAATTATTTGAATAGACCTGTCACAATAGAAGATATGTGAACAGCTTGAACAGCTAGTAAGCCCATCAAAAGGTAATTATCATTAGACATTAGGAAAATTAAAACTAGAGTGAGACACCAATACGTGACTAAAACTTTGAAGACTGACAGTATCAAACGTTGGCAAGGATGTGGGGCACCAGCAACTCATTCGTGTCTGGTGCAAGTGTAAAATAATAATACAATCACTTTGGCAGACTGTTTAGTAGTTTCTTATCAAGTTAAACATATGCTGATTTTTAATCTAACAATTCTACTCCTTGATGTTTAACCAAAATAAATGAATGTATATAATTTTTTGTTTTTTCTGAGACAGGGTGTCACCCTGTTGCCCAGGTTGGAGTGCAGTGGCACAGTCACTTAGCTAATTTTTGTGATTTTTTGTAGAGATGGGGTTTTGCCATGTTGTTCAGACTGGTCTTAAACTCCTGACCTCAAGGGATCTGCCTGCCTCGACCTCCCAAAGTGCTAGGATTGCAGGTGTGAGCCACCATGCCCAGCTGAAAATATATATTAAAAAACAAAACAAAGCCAAAACAAATTTGCAAACATATATTCAGAGCAGGCACACTTACAAAAGCCAGAAACTGGAAACATCTCTAGTGTTACTGAAAAGGTGAATGGATAAGTACATGTGGTATATTCATACAATGAAATGCTACTCTGTCATAAAGTGCTAGCAATAAATAAAAAGCAATATGAATGAATTAAAAACATGTGAGTGAAAGAAGCCTAAGACAAAAAATCGTACTGTATGATTCCACATATGGAGTTCTAGAACTGGCAAAACTAATCTATGGTGATACAAATCAAAACACTTGTTATCTATAGGGTGTAGGGAGATTGACTGGAGAAAGGTCACAGGAACTGCCTGTATGGTGGAAATAATTCAGTATCCTCATTGGATTACAAAGGTGTATGCATTTGTCAAACTCAGTAAATTCTACACTTAAAATCTGTAAATTTTATTTATAAATTATACCTCAATTAAGGGAGCAAAACTATCTTTTTTAAAAAGATAAAGTTAAGTGTCTTATAAAACTATAATCCTTTGCCCCCCACTACTGTGCCATTTTGCAAATCTATTATTCCAGGCAATTTATTCCCCAATTATTTGGATTAATAAAATTATTTTCTTTTAATTTAAATCAAGTCTTAGTAATTATTAAATTCAGTGATGGATTAATGAATAGAGTTAGGCGGTTAATTTTTTAAATCGTCAGATTTGGTCAGAAATGAGAAATGGTTGATTTAAAATGTGACCTAAATCTTGTGCTTTAAGTTGATGTTACATAGAGGATAACTTAGATGTTTTTACACAAAGTATAGTTCTTAATTAGTAGTATATGATCCATGTGAATCTGATACAAGTCTCAATCATGAGCATCTAAGACAAATATATCTAGCTCATAGAAAGTTTGGAGTTGTAAAAGCAGCTATCTTACATTTCATTAATGAAGACATTTGGTGATTTTGTTACACTTTTTAACACATCAAAAATAATTGCTTGAAAGGTTCTTTTAAAAGTATTTTGTATCTCCACATACTCTATTTAATTATGTTTATGTGTATGTGAGTCACATTTACAAATTGGCAAACCAACTAGAACGTATTGTTAAATGTAAGTCATCACGCGGTAACCCAGCAAAGGTCTAGGGGAATAGCTTGACTTCATGTAACTAGTTCAGCATTCAGTGCATCAACATAGATCAGTGTTATTTTTCCATTAAATTTGAGGTGTTTGATTATTATTTTGTGTTTAAAAAAGATGATTACAACGTGGTGTAGGTGGTATCGTTGGTTTAATAACACACGATTTTCTGTACTTGAGTAAATTATTCATACCTCTCATTTTCAAAAGTTACTGTTGTCTCACTTTTTAACTACTCTGTAATTTATTATGTTTGACGTTGTGTGGGCTTTTTTTGCTTGGATGGTAGCATACAATACTAGTTTTAAAACGTATAAATGCAGTCTTACAAGAAGGGTACACTGATTAGCTGTGCAAATTAGTGATGGTTTGGAAATTATAACAGATTGTATCAACTCTTTCAGACCTCTAGGTAGCAACTAGTTCACTGGGTAAATGTTCTTTAATAATTATTTATATATATTTTTTCACTACTGCAGAATAGTGCAGTAGTGAATAACATGGACCTAGAGCCAGACAGCTTAAATAGCTTGTGACCTTGGCAAGTTGCTTAACCTCAATACTTTTTTTTCTTACTTGTAAAATGGTGATGATAAAAATATTTCCAGTACTTTATTTGGTGGTTGTAACCAGTGAGTTAAAACATGTAAAGTGCTTAAGACAGCACCTGACATATAGGTAAGTATAAGCTATTGTCACTATTACTATCATCATCATCATCATCATCATCATTATCAAGATTACCTTTATCCTGAGAAAATGTAACTAAATCTCGGGACCGGGCACGGTGGCTCACACCTGTAATCCCAGCACTTTGGGAGACCAAGGCAGGCAGCTCTCTTGAGGCCAGGAGTTCAAGACCAGCCTGGTCAACATGGCAAAACCCTGTCTCTACTAAAAATACAAAAATTAGCCAGGTGGGCATGATGGCGTGTCCTGTAATCCCAGCTACTTACTTGGGAGGCTGAGGCACAAGAGTCACTTGAACCCGGGAGTCGGGGGTTGCAGTAAGAGAGATTGTGCCACTGCACTCCAGCCCGGGCAAGAGAGTGAGACTCTGTCTCAAAAAAAAGAAAAAAAATGTAACTAAATTTGGGCTTTTATTGTGGTAGTAATTTTCAGTGCTAATGATAAGTACTCATATTATTATTTTGTATAGTCTCTTAAAATAGGTAGTTTCAGAAAAATGTTAAATACTGTAATTCAAAGGCAGTGATTATAACAGTCTTGAAAAAGAACAGCAGGTAAGTTTGCATGTCCTATTTGATAATTATAATAGTTATTATTGTATTCTTGCAATTGTGTTCCAGGGCATGATCTAATATAGTACACGTGTATGAAAGATGGCACATGGAAAAGGTTGCTTTGTTGTGGAATAGCTATCACCACTCCCCTTTTCTGTTATAGCAGTGGGTGTTCCCAAAGCATCTTACTTGGGTTTTCCTTCCTATTCCAGAGGAACATGGGCCAACTTACCTCTCCTCCTATGTCCATAGTCTGCCTTGACTCTGCTCTCTTTCCCTTTCCTGCTGCATCAGTCCTTGATCTCAGGGTTCCCTGACAGGCCATTTTTAGTACATTTGGAATTATTTAATTGTTTACATGTACAGAATTAGATTTGAAATAAGTTAATAGAGAACACATTAACATCTTTTTCCCCTGTACTACCAAAGTTAATTTTTTTCCTTATTTCTACTTTTCAATTATTTAGCATCTGTATTTTAAAATTAAGATTTGCATTCATTTAATCTGCTTGATCTTTAGGTTAATAATCATATATTATGGTTCTTAGTTTGTGAAAATAAAGTTAATTATTGGCTCCAGACACAAAGAAGTATCCTTTAGCTACAGGCCTTTTCCTCTTTGCTTACATGCCCACATCCCCGACCATTCCCCAGATGTCTTACAGATCCATGCTTCTTGTATTTCTATTAAGTTCAGGAACGTACTGCACACCAGTACTTTCTGGATGACCTCACTCTTTCCAGCCAGTTCTCTCTTCAGGCCATTTGATGTACCATTTCCAGTAGTACTTTCTTTGTTTATTAAATCTGGACTATTCGCCATTGGATTATAGGTTTTCCATCACATGCAAAATTTAAATGAGCAAGATTTTTGGTAAACCATCGTGTGGACACCGGAGGGTTCTTTCTACAGAAGATAGAAACAAATAGTATTTGTTACTGATTGTATAATTTGTATAATTGCTTAATGTAACTTTACTTTTCTCATTTAAACTTCTAGCTTGGAGATTTCCTTGATTAAGAAGAATGAAGGACTGACCTGGCCAGAGCTAGTAGTTGGAGATAAACAAGGGGAACTTATAAGAGATTCAGCCCAGTGTGCTGCAATTGCTGAACGTTTGATGCATTTGACCTCTGAAGAACTGGTAAGTAGTTGGAATACTAGTGTAACTTTCCAAGGGTCCAAAAATATGTCGTGTGAAGATTATGCCATGCTTTTCAAACATTATTTTGCTTTTCCTAATGTAAAAGATACATATCAGATACTACTGATCTGGGTGATGTTTGAATATGGCTTAAGTTCTAATATTTATTTCTTACACTGTGTAAATACATACATGTATGTGTGGTCATACTATATAGTTTGCCTACATCTGTGTATGTGTGTGTATGTGTTGTGCACGCTCTCTCTCTCTCTACATGTATTCTTTAGAAGAATCAACTGACCAGTGCTGGTAGGACAAAAATTATGTTAAAATTTATTTACCAAGAATCTACTTATCACTAAAATTTTTGAGGTGATTTTAGAATTTTGCAAGGATATATGTATCATATATGGTAATTTTTTCTTTGTAATGTAATTAATTGTGATGATTACAGTGACCCCACAGTACTTAATCATGAGGTTGAATATGTTCCCACTCTGATGACGTGTATGATCATGTTAAGAATGTGAACAAATACAGCAGTACATCAGAATTTTAAATTGTATGTTCATTTTCTAACAATGATATCAGCATATGAAAGATGTCTGGTTTATTGCCATCTTGAATTATAGAGATGAGGAAGACTGTACAAAGTATTGTCTATACTATAATGTTAATCGCATCCTAAGATAGAAAAAAAGGATTAGAATATTGAAAGTGAATGTCTCTATCAAAAGGAAACATGGCCAGATAGAGAAACCAAGTTTCATGTTTGCCAGTAGTAATTGAAAATTTCAGGAATCACTGAAACTCATATGTAGGACTTCAAAACTTTGATTTCATAGCCCTGTGTACAACAAACCATACAGGCTGCATTGCCTTATATTCACGCATTAAGCAAGTATTATTGTGTTAGGCTCTGGGAATATAATAGCAGTGACAGTATTGGAGATATGTTTTGAGACTGTAGATAATTGCAGTTAACTACTTTTTAAACTTGATGGTTTCAATTGAATATTAGTGTTTATGAGAAAGTTATTTATGCCTGAACACCAGTGTGTGTTACATTTTGAAAAGACAAACATACAATTTTATCTGCAGCTGAAGGCAGTTTTGTTTTTCAAATATTCATACTTGCCTTACTGCAGTGGTTAGAATGTCTGCTCCACAGCTATATAGAACTCTCAAATGGTTAAAGCAGACATTCTTGCCTTATTTGTGATCTTGGGGAAAATAATTGACTATTTTATCATTAAGAAGGATAGATTCTTTGTATTACATTGAAAAAACTTTCTTCTGTTTGTAGTGTGCTGAGAGTTTTTATCATGAATGATTATAGAATTTTCTGCATTGGTGGGATAAGCCCTTGTTGGTCAGGTTTTTTGTTTTGTGTTGTGTTGTTTTTTACCGTCCTTTTCCAGTTTGGATATCTGGGTTATAACTTTGTAAAATGATTAGGGAAGTGTTCTATTTGTAGAAGAGAATGTATAGAACTAGTGTTATGTCTTAAAATGTTTGGTAGAATTTGTCAGTAAAACAATCTGGACCTTGAGTGCTTTTTTGGAAGGCACTTAACTATGGTGCCTCAGTTTTTAATGTTTTTAATTTCTTTTAACAGATATAGATCTGATGTGAGCATCTGTTTCCATTGCCTTTGTTTTTCAGTTTTCCATTTCTTAATTTCCATGTTACATGTATTATGTTCTTCCTTTTGTTTACTAGGAATTTATATTGCTTTTTTGTTTTCTATTTTTGAAGGTGATAGCCTAGTTGATTTTTGAATTTTCTATTCCAATGAAAGCACTTAATGTTGTACACGTTCTTCTAAGCACTACTGTAACTGCATTCTCTAAATTTTTAGCCTACCTTAATTCCATAGGGATTGATTTGATTCGATGCTGGGCTTCAGTCTTTTACATGGCTGATTTATTCCATGTTTATTCTTACACCTAAGGCAAAACTTTTCATTTATCTCAACTGAAAGCCTAGGATGTTTACCAGGGCTTCTCCTACTATGTGGACTCTGAAGTCTAATTTTTGACTCCCGAGCACTTTAATACCCCAAACTCAGCTTTTTAGCCCCTTATTTGCTGCTTTCCACTTGTCTTTTTCAACTCAGTTTAAAAATCAGTAAATGGTCTTTGGAAAGCAACATAGCATTTGCTATATTGAAGTTTGACCCTTTTCTCTGCAATTTCCTTTTCTCTCTAATCTTGTCCTGTGAAGCACTGGTGATCTTGATAGTCCTGAACTTTTAATTTTTTCTGCTTCTAAAGTATGGATAATTGGAAGGTGAAGGGAAGGAGAAATCTATAGGGTACTTTCTCTATTCTGTTGGATATAGATATGTCCTTGAGACACTGTGCAGAATGGCATCAACTAACCAGGAGATTGCTGGTGGTGCCGTTACAACCAGTCACAGCAACCATAATTGTTCCCATTGATACTTAGACTACAGGCAACAGCCACAACTAGGCGGTTCCATATTCCAGCTGGGACATGGACACATGTTGAGGATGTAGATCTTCTAGAACTTCCATCCATTTAGTTTCAGATTCTCTCAGTTCATTTCATTAAATGTTTAATAACATGAGAATTAACATAACTCTGTATCTTAGCAAACTAGATGTTTACACATTTGGTCAGTTGTAGAATTGTATTTCTGCTATATGCAGATATTGTATAATTTATTGCTTAATTATTGTGATCCTGTTACTCTGTGAGGTATATAAGACCAGACAGTGACCCTTGCATTGAAGCAAGGGAACATTTAAAAATTGCTTTCATGAATTTATTTATGTCTAGTTTAGGCTTATTAACAATATTTCAGTGTTTCTGTTTGGGTAGATATTTGTGTGTGTGTGTGTGTGTGTATTTTAGTGGTTCTAGAGGTTACATCTTTGACTTATCACCAACTGTCTTTAAAAACTGTATCACTTCATCTATAATTTAAGAAATTTATATTTTCTTCTCTTCTGTTCTTTGTATTATTGTCTTACATTTTATATTCCATTAAAATTAATAATACATTGCTATTTTAGCTATAGTCAGTAATTCTCTTTTAAAAGAGATTAAAAGTGTGAAAAAAAGGTTTTTCATTTACTCTTATATTTGCCTTTTCATCTATTCTGTATTCCTTTGTGTTGATTGACATTTTCATCTGATGTTATTTTTTTCTGGCTGGAGAGCTTCTTTTAGCATTTTTTTCTAGTGTGGATTTGCTGGTGATAAATTCTCTCAGCTTTTTTCTGCAAAAATATTTCTCTTTTCTTCCCTTTTCTAAAGTTATTTTTGTTATGTATATAATTCAGCGTTGACAGGTTTGTTTTTTGTTTTTTTGGTTTTTTTTTATCTTACACCTTCAAATATACACCATTGTATTCTGGCCTACGTAGTTTCTGATGAGAAGTCAGCTGTCTTTTACATCTTTATTCGTCTGTAAATAATGTATCTTTTCCTCCCCTGTCTGCTTTTAGGAATTTGTTTATTACTGCTTTTCAGAAATTTACTTACAATGTGACTTACTGTGGTTTTTGATTTTTTAAAAAAATATTTGTTGTGCTTGGAGTTCTTTGACATTCTAAAGTGTTGGCCATTACTTATTCACAATTTTTTCCCCATTCTTCTTGCCCTCCTCCAATTACCCATATGCTAGACCATTTGATATTGTTCCACAGATCACTGAGTTTCTCTGTTTTTATGTTTTGTCTTTGTGCTTCATTTTGTAGTCACTATTGCTATTTTTCAAGCTCACTGGTCTTTTGTCCTGCAGTGTCTAATCAGCTGTCTGTCATATCTGTTTTGTTTTTCATTTCAGATTTGTGTTTTTATATCTAGAAGTTCAGTATGGTTCTTTTCTTTCATCTCTCACTTTCTCATGTTTATGTTTTCCTTTACATCTTTGAGTATATGGAGCATGTTTATAATACGTGTTTTCATATCCTTTTCTGCTGACTTCGTCATTCTATTATTTCTGTTTGTGTGATTATGATTTTATTGGTCATGGGTTTGCAATTCATTTTTAATTACTGCTGTAACCTTAACATTTTTAAAGATGAAGAAACCCATTCCCTTGCTTATTTGTTTTACTTATTTACTTATTTTATTTTCTGGACTAAGAATCCAAATCCAGATAAAGAAAAACCACCTTGCAATGCTCAAGAGTTAGAAGAATGTGATATTTTCTTTGAAGAGAGCTCCAGTTTGTGCAGATTTGATGGCAGTACATTAAAAACTACTCATGTGGTAAGTTACTGTTATTAATATTTTTATAAAATTTTGTCAGTAGTTAACTCAGATGATGATTGGCCTGTATATGTTTTTCAAAGATACTTGATTAGCAGTTATTGGCTTTGATAAGTCTCATCACTCTGTCAAGTAGCATCTTTTCATACACTCAGTAAAACAGTGTTGTATAGTTTTGGTACCACTTTATATTGATATCTTTCAATTTGCACTTTTCTGGATGGGTTTTTCATATATAATTGTGACCCTATAATGTATAATAACTTCACATTTTTTTTTTTTTTTCATTCAACATTATGAACTTAAGCGTTTCCTCATGTTATTTAAATGTCTGGTTTAATGGTTGGATTATACTATGATGTTGGTCATGTCTGCATGTAGTGATTCTACCCATTACAATAAGTAATAGCTTTTTAAAAATACATTATGATGATGCTATTTTTAAAAAATCTCTGTTATATGAAGCCTTTTCTATTTCCAGGGAAATTTATCTAATAACAAGTTACAGAATTCAAATTAATCATAAGCCTCTGACAAATTGATTACTACTTATATTTTTATTAGTAAAGATTGCAGTTATTGCCTGATTCACTGCATCTTCACCTTCACTTTTTTGTTTGATCATTACTAATTGGTGTGCAGAATAAACTTGTGCCAATTTTTTTTTTTAACTGTCAACTATTTCATGTAATAACTATTTCTTTTGTGAAGAAGTTTTTATTTGTCTTAGTGTTTCTTACCAATTTGTATGATGTGTTTTAAATTTGAATAATGCTTCTATATCAAGTGAGTTAATTTTTTTCTTCTTTTTCTATTTTGGAATATTTTTATTCAACTCATTAATTCATCTGGAATTTGTTTTTCCTTTTCTCTCTTGTGTGCCATATATATATTTCACACCCTGGCCCCCCCTAAAAAAAATTTACACTGTGTTTACAAGCTTTGACAGATTTGTATTAAGATACTGAAGAAGACTGCCTGGAGTGACTTGATGCAGTAGATGTAGATTTTTTTTTTTTTTTTAATTTAGAACCTTATTAGACCTTCCTTCTTAGGGGAATCCTTAACCATTAGTTATTACTACTAAGTGTGTGTTTCATGGAGTTGTTTCTGTGAGCAGGGTGTCTCAGCCAATTGGTGGCTAACTTAGAGCCTCGTGCATATAGAAATTAGTGTTATTAGTGAAACCAGAAGGAAATTTGGGAGACTCATTCCAAGCAAAAGCAACAGAGGAGATTGAGAGCAACTTGGTCTTTTGTTTCTGTTTTTAGACTTGTTAGTCTTTGATACAGGTTTCAAAGGCTCTGTTTTCAAGAAAACCCTGAAAAATTTCTGCCAAGTTTGCCCTGATGTTTGTTTGTTATGTAGAGGTTTGGGGGAAAGTGTATTCTACCAGAATTCATGTAACCGAAGTTAAAAGTGTCATGGGAAGCTGGTTTACCAGGTCTGAGTTCTGGCCCAACATCTTACTGACTGAAAGGAAATATAACTGTTCTTCTCACTCGCTGTCCCTTCCTGGTATTTTTGGATACTTACCAGCTTTCTTTAATGGCTGAATGTTAATCAGTACTCAAAGAAGTTGTAAAATGAGCATTTCTAGTTATACCTATGTGGATAAACGAGGTGGAATGGCATAGGACCAATGGCTAGGCAGAAGTACCATTTGAAGCTGTATCAAAATTAAATATTTGCTTTTACAATTAATTTCTATCTCTGCACTGCTCTCTTCCTTACCACGCTTTAACACTAGTAAGTTCTAAAAAGCACATGGATGACATTTTACCAGTGCAAATGTTCTGATTCATGATAGTTGCTTAATATATTTCTTTAGAATTATCTTTTAGTGACAGTCTTTAAATTTAAAAAAATTGTTTTAGGTCCATTTTGGATCTCAAGAAATGACTGTCTTTCATTTTCTCCCTTCCTCCTCAATTAATCTTCTAATTGAAGAGTAAGCAGTATTCTTAGTCAGATTATTATATCCAGGCTGGGTACTGGTCAAAACCCCAGATTATCAGAGCTGTTTCAAGTTTTTAGGAGTTTTACTTCCTAGCTGTTGTTTAGTTTTGACATAATCTTATAGATGATTCCCTGAATTGTGATAAATAAGAGCCATCACATAGCTACTCTTCTCTTTGTTACCTTGGGTTAAATTTTAGAGAACCAGTTTCAGGCGTGACTGATAGAAGCCTCTTGAATCTGACTAACTGGAGATTATTTGTTCTAATAATGAAGAATCTGGTTGTTGTTCTTAACGTTATACTTTTAGGTGCTATAACTCTTAGATACTGTTTTCTGCCAAACTTTTACAGGGAAGGCAGCTGTATCTTAGGTGTCATAAAATGCTGTGGTTTAAACTTAGCTTCCCTGAAAATTTCAGTTCATCTTAGTACTCCTAAATAGTGTTGATCAGTAGTTTAATGATGGTCACTGAGATACTCCCAGTTAATGATACCTTTCTTCATTTCTTATGTTTGAGTATATTAATTAAAACCAAGGAATGGCAAAATAAAAGCATTATTACTGATACATTACAATACAAAAGCTTAGTGGCTCTACGTACTAAGTCCTAGAATTTAGCAGATTTACCTATAGTCACAGGCAATGTTAAATCAGCTCTGGCTGCCCCTAGAGGGACAGTTGAAAACTCTTATTTCCTGAGGCCTCTAGCTCCTTATATGAAAAAGTGATAGAACTGAGAAGAATATACCGATTTTTCTTACATTTACTGATCAAATGTGACTTCACTCCTCAGGAATTTATAAAAGCTAGAATGTTATAGCAGTGGATCTTCTCAGTGTCGTAGATCAAGAGTGGGGAAGAAGTCTAATATATAATAAATAGGGACAATCTTTCCAACTTCAAAGAAATTCCATATTTCATCTTCTTCATTTTACGGATTTATTAAGACAAACTGAGATAGATGGAGTTTATATGGGATCAAAGAGAGAGTCAGTAGTGGAAACTAGATCTCTTGGGCTGCCAGTATGCTTTCCATAATTTTCCCTAAACCAACAGGATCATAAATTTCTCTTTGGAGATCCCAAGCTACTACAGTTCGTCCTTCCTTCTGAATAAATACAGTTAGTCTTACTTCTGTGTTCCTAAGGAATGTGAACAATAGATTTCTGTGGTAAGCAGTTTCTATCCTCAGAAACTTAATAAACAAACAATCCTTCATTGTACTGTAGATTTTATTTGATGAGACATTTCCAGCATACTTTTTTAACTAATCACATTTCAAAGTTTAATTGCTGGTTTAACTTCAATTAGTGTATGATTAAACTAAAGATTCTTATCTTTGTTTCAGTTGGATTTGAAACCAAACTTTCTTTTTATAATTATAAGCCCTTTATGGTAGAACAATTTTTATTCCTTTGGGTATACACACAATAATGGGATTGCTGGGTCAAATGATAATTCTGCTCTGAGTTCTTTGAGAAATCTCCAAACTACTTTCCACAATAGCTAACTAATTTACATTCCCATTAGCAGTATATAAGCATTCTCTTTTCTCCCCCATGTCACCAGCATCTGTTTTTTTTTTTTTTTTTTTTTTTTTACTTTTTAATAATGGCCATTCTGACTCATGTGAGATCCTAAACACTGAATACATATGGACACACAAATGAAAACAACAGACACCAGAGCCTACTTGAGGGTGGAGGGAGGAGGATGAGGATTGAAAAACTACCTGTCGGGAACTATGCTTATTACCTGGTTGGCGAAATAATCTGTACACCAAACCCCCATGACACACAATTTACCTATGTAGCAAACTTGCACATGTACCCCGAACATAAAAGTTAAAAATTATAAGCATTTTGATTTTTATATTATTAATTTTTATATAGACAAAAATGCAGTGAAGTAAAAATACATAAACATATATGTAGAATGGATACTCATGCAATGCTTGAAATTTGAAATTACCTTACATGGGAAGGTTAGTATATTCCCTAAGAGTTTTAGAAAATAATGCTATAATAAAAAGGTCAGAACTCTATGTTTTAAATGACAAATATCCCAAAATATGTTTCCTTTAAAGACATGGACATTAGGGTTAGAATTGCCATTAGGAAAATAAAATGTTAAATAAATAAATGAAGCAGCACAATAAAAGAAATATTAAATATCAGAACTGAATATTTAATATTTCTCTGAAATATTAAATTGGTCACTAAAGTGTAAAGTGCAAATCAGAATTCAGATAGAATTGAAGATGAATTATTTTTACTTCTATCTAAGAACTGTCAAAATGTTAGCCTCTGGCCATATGGTGACTATTGAGCAATTGAAATGTGGCTAGTCTGAATTGAAATGTGCTATAAATGTAAAATACACAACCAAATTTTGAAAATATGAAATACATAAAATATTACTAGTTAATTTTTATGTTGAAATGATAATCATTTGGATATGTTTGGTTAAATAAAATACATTATTCAAGTTAATTTATCCAGTTTCTTTTTATGCTTAAATATGGCTCCTAGAAAATTTAAAATTATGTATGTGGCTCCCATTTTATTTCTGTTGGACAACACTGATCTGTAGTAATCACATTATATAGACTTGAATGACCAGAAGGTGATAGGATATTTTTAAGTATTAGATAATGGTGAATTTCTTAGATCAGATGATATTCATCTATTGCTTAAGACAGGGGTCCCAACCACCCAGGCCACGGACCTTACGGGTCCCTGGCCTATTAGGAACCTGGTCACACAGCAGGAGGTGAGCAGTGGATGAGCTCCGCATCCTGTCAGATCAGCAGCAGCCTTAGATTCTCATAGTGGTGCTATTGTGAACTGTGCATGCGAAGGATCTAGGTTATGCAGTCCTTATGAGACTAATGCCCGATGATCTGAGGTTTCATCCTGGAACCTCCACACACCCCCGCCTTTGTCCGTGAAAAAATTGTCTTCATGAAACGAGTCCCTGGTGCCAAAAAAGTTGGGGACCACTGGCTTAAGATATAAAATTGAAGCACCTGAAAGAAT